CTAAAGGCTGCATGAATACACATCATTTTTTAAAAGCTACATAAAAGTTCAGGTTAAAGTTCCCACACATTTCATTATTTTCTATGATCATAACATAGATCAGTTTTCTTCTGTACACATTTTCTCAGTGTTCTCACTCTTAACCTAGTACGTAACAGGCCAACATCTCAGCAGTTTCTAAGGTTTATTGAATGAAACATTAAGTTCCTCACACTCAGGATTTTCAGTCTTAAGGCTAATATGAATTGTGATTCTCTAAAATAAGTGGCAAGCAACATACTGAGCACACTGTGGACACAGTAGTTTCCTAGACGGCTGACCAAATTTGCATTTGCTGTAGTGTCACTGATAAAAGGAGACTCTGGCCTTTTCTGTTTCATGACCTCAGACTGCACTATTTTTCTTATAAAAGTATACAACAGGTCACAGGGAGGATTTCAGAGATCAATGCAAAGCCACTGTCACTACAGGAAAAACAACAGCCTGCATTCTGAAGTTCGATAGACATTATGATGCTATATTTTGAGTACAAAAACTAACACAGGCTTATAATACTTTTATATTCTTTATTACTGAAATTGTACGTTACTTTCTAAACCTCACATATAAGAAAGAACATAAAGATGTACAATCCCTTTTAAATACTGTTTCTTTTAAATTTTGTCCTTCATAAAAACAAATCTGTGGATAAAACATTTCCTGATCCAGACAGTATTTAATTCTGAAAATGCCTACACTATCTTATAGACCCAAAATACAGAACAAAAATATAAAAACAATAAAACCCTTATAACTATCACCACACGGGGGGGGGGGGGAGGAAAGTCAGAAAAACATACAAAAAACTGAAAGACTGGACATGGAGGAGGCCAGAGGGGAGCCGGGGAGGGTTTCCTGAGGTTCTAGGCAAGCCCTGTGATGACATCACCTCACAGGCCTCCTGTTTTCTCATTGGTCAGCACCGTGTCAGCCGACATCAGAAGATAATCACCATTGGCCAGACAATTACAAATGGAGCAGCTAGCATCCAGCACTGCTAGCACAGAGCCAGCAGGCTGCTGAGAGAGAACGCAGAGCCCAGCTGCCCTTCTCACTCAATGAATTTTATGTCACCTTACCAATCACTAGGCGATTTTGCTCCCTTGCTAGCAGCCCTTGTAAGTCAGCTCTTAGTGAAAATAACAGGTAAAGGCCAGATGTCTCATAAAAGAACAAAATGCCTCTCTTTTCAACGCTGTAAAATCACAAGGGCTTTTTAGTGTAAAATCAGAACTCAAAAATGCTATTGAGCTAAAAGCAGGCATTTTCCTCTGCCTCATGCAACACACTCTCATGTACCAGACAGTATTACTCAGGATATTTTTAACTTGACATATAGTTTCAAGATGTGGCTCAGGAGGATCCTCCAAGGCACAATATTTATTACTTGGCATTTCTGTAGCTTTGCTGATCTGTTATATACGAAACTATTTGCTAGAAAAGTAAAAAGGTCTGTGGAATTTATCTCGTGTCTGTAACAATGAATACAGGGTTAATTACTCTTTAGACAGCAATAAACTTGATAAACTTGCCTCAGTTGAACCCTTTATAGAATTTATACAAACACCACTCCAAAAAGGGGGCCCCTTTACATTAATATGGAATAAGGTAATGAATATGGATTATAGGGTAAGTTTAGTAAAGGTCCTCTTAAATGATACTCAAAAAGTAGTGCAGACAGCATACTGACAAAACAGCACTCCTAGCCTTCCTCACAATCCTTCAAAAGACAGTGGGTGTAGCTCATTTTTGAGACATAAGTTATAATTCTCTAAATGGAGTTTCATTTGAGGCTATGTATATAGATTTTTAAGAACAACTGAAAATGATTTGTCAAAAAACAGAGAAGCTTCCCAACATTGTGTTTTTCCTCCAGAAGCTATTTCAAGCCATTTTAAGTTAATGAGTCTCGGAAAGGCAAGACCCTGTATTTCCTAAACTTCCCCTGCCCCCAAGAGGGTATAAGCCTTGGTATGGAGCCCCTTCTCCTGTTAACAAGGGAAATGAAAAGGAAATCTTCATTTTCTTATACACCGGGCTCAAGATTTTGTATTATCGGGAGTTTGGGGGAGGAGGTTTATAAAACTGGGCCCCAAGGATATTGGGAGAAATGCATACACTCTGGAGTAAAGGAATAAAGCAAGACAATTAGGGTCCGGAAGACCTGCAAGGAAAGGGTAACAGCAGGGTTTTGTGCTGCAGTAGGTAAGCCATGAAGAACAAACAACAAAAGAGAAAAGGCCAGGAAGGGGAAACTCTAGTATGTGACTATGACATAGCATTCAAAATGCAGAAGGAAGCCAAGTAAGTTAAGCTTCAGGTATTAACAGGTAGGGCTGGCAATAAAATGGGCACCCATTGTCACTTTAGCTCACTAGATAAGCATTTTCCCCAGCATCTGCCATGTACAAAGCATCCTTCAAGATGCTCTACATAATCATAGTGGAATGAGACAAGAACCATGCCCTGAGAGATGATGGTCTGGTAAGAGGCACAGACATATAGGTAAATATTCATGTATATGAATAAAAGCCAGGAAAGATATTGCCAGACATAAGGTTCAGATAAAGAGCCAGAAGGAAACAGTGGTAGAGCCCAATAGGCAAAGATAAATTGGCGCATTTTCCCCATTTTCAGTCCCCAGAGGGCTAGGCCCTGTTTGATTCAGTGTGTACTTGCTGAGTGAATGGGGAAGAGGCGGGAAAATGGTACCTGGAAGTGGAGGAGGCACAGACAGTAGCCTCAGAGAAAAGGCAACAAGTGATTAAGAGGCAGTACCAAGCGCAATGGTGCAAGAGAGGGCTGGCCGACAGTGAACGCGGTCAGCCCGCGGGAGGGGAAGCCGGCTCTAGAGAGGCAGGTTCGACAAGGATGCAGCCAGTTGGAGACACGGCAGACGTCAGAGAACACAGAGCACACTAGGCCACCGGGGGTGGGAAGATGGGCCCGAGCTGCGCGGCAAGGAAACAGGACAAACAGCTGCAGAGAAGACCCGGGCCCTCGGCTGGCCCGCCGCCACTGGCCACCGCCCCCACCCCGCCTTCAGCGCCACCCCCTAAGCGGGAAGAGGAAGTGCATCTGGAGAAGGTCCCCAGGCGGTGGAGCCCGAGGGGGCTCGGCTTCCCCGGAACGCCAAGGCCTTTCAATGTCTAAACTCCTACGGGATCGAGCTTCCCAGTGCACAATCATCTTCCGAACCCACCCTTGGCCCTTTCGGCCTCGGCGGCCCGGGAAGGACCCCAGCCCTATCTCCGTCTGCTGCCGCACTTCCTAGTCTTCCGAGCGGATCGCGTTCCCCTCCTGGCTTCCGGCTCCGACCCTCCGCCACACTCCGGCCCCCGCGCCCTCAGAAGCCCCCAGCCAAGCCGCAGCGAGTGTGACCGAGCGGGGCCGGCTGCGCTCCCCCACCAACAGGCCGGGCCCAGCCGGCGGGCACGGCGCAGGGGGCGGGCTCCGCCCGGCTGCAGCCGCAAATGACCAGCTG